GCTGCGCCACGCGTATGTGTGGAATGGCCTATTAATTAATCAGTTCCCCACAACCGAAACCCCTAACTCCTGAACTTAACCTCCTCATACAGTGCGGGTGCCACTAATAATAACGCTGTATTAGCGAAAGATCAACGCCGTTATTGGGCCGCCACGCACTAATTGGCATTATCTAGCATCATCCATTCTCCTTGCCTCGCTGTCCAGACCTCCTGTCTGTTTTATTATCGTCCAGCGCCCGCCGACCAAACGTCTCTCCTTTAGCTACCTCCTCGCAGTTCTTATTTGTTTCATTATAGTAATTGTTTTCCTTTACATTTGTGCTTTCTTCACTCAATACTCAATTTTACTGAATGGGGCTAAGGCATAACGGCGTACTCTAATTTTCATTCATCAACGGCCTCTATCCTCATTGCCATTTCATTGATATTCAAAACTGGCATTGCATTTCAGTCAATGATTCAGCGCTTGAGTATCTACTGGTCGACCTCAGCTCACGGAAAGGGCAAAGAGGAGTCATCAAATTCGCAGCCATGGGCCTGCTGGAACGCTGGGGCTTAAGGCATGTCGAGTCTGTGGACGATTACCTGAGCGTATTGATCCCCCTTGACAAGGCCCATCTGTACAGCCACTCTGCCAAACAAGGTCGGGCAGGGCCTGCCTCCCGCAGCGAGCATGCGGAAGTTGGCGATGCCGACGAGGAAAAGGATGGCGAGAATGAAACATCCGGCATGCTCCATGGACATGCTGGTGAATACAGCATCGAAGGCCTAAGGAAGGAAATGAGACAGGGGAATCAAGGGAAATGGACGAGCAATGAGAGTATGTTGCTCCAGCCTTTGCCAGGTGACCAAACTGAGAAGACTAACAAAAGAGCAGTCAAGTCAAAACTTATCAATAAGGCGTTACAGGACATTGGAATGGGCACATATAATTGGCAATTGTTTGCACTTTGCGGCTTTGGGTGGTTTGCAGATAAGTAAGGATGATCGTTTTCTTTAACCGCTGCGAGACAATCTGGCTAACTCATATTACCTAGTTTATGGTTGCAGGTGAGAATCATGTTGGAACCCCGCGTTTCTTCGGGCATGTGCTAACTTGGTCTCAGGGTGCTTCTTTAACCCTACCCTCGCTCTCAGCAGAGTTTGGCGTCTCTGAAAAGACAGTCCGATACACTACAAGCGCCCTTTTCGTGGGTCTTGCGCTTGGAAGCTTCTCGTGGGGCATTGGCTCTGACTATGTTGGCCGCCGTGTTCCGTTCAATGTCACTCTTCTCATTGCCAGTGTGTTTGGCATCGCGACAGCTTATCAGCAGAGTTGGGGGGCCGTTTGCTTTTTCTATGGTGCAATGGGTTTTGGTGTGGGCGGCAGTCTCCCGGTCGATGGCGCCCTCTTCCTCGAGTTTCTTCCCGATGCTTCCAGCGCTCTTTTGACAGTACTATCTGTCTGGTGGCCTATCGGTCAGCTAGTCTCTTCGCTCATTGCCTGGTTCTTCGTAGCACAGTGGCCTGCTGAGCAGGGCTGGCGATATTTCCTGGTTACGATTGGCATCATGACTTTTACCATGTTTGCCATTCGGTTTTTCGTGTTCAGACTTCTCGAGTCACCAAAGTACCTACTCAGCAAGGGCAGGCAGCATGAGGCTGTCGCCGTCATTCACGGTGTCGCATACAGAAACAAAACTCGAACTTGGCTGACATCCGAAATCATGGACGAAGTTGCGGCTGAGGATGATACTGCGATGGGCTACGAGGAACAAGAATACAAGAATTCATCCTCCGGAAGCCCTCTCGTGCAGAAGATCAAAGGCCTCTACTCCTCCGATAAACTCAGGCTCCTCTTCAAAGATAAGAAGCTGGGCCTTGCAACAGGACTTATCTGGTTCTGTTGGGCGGCTATTGGAATGGGTTACCCGCTGTTCAACGCTTTTCTTCCTCAGTATTTTGCCCGGTACAGTGGCAAGGGCGAGGGTGCCAGCGTGCATTCGGAGACGTCTCCCATCACCGGCGAAACTTATCGAAACTACGCAATCACATCTGTATTCGGTGTGCCTGGCAGCCTCATCGCGGCCTACCTCGTCGACCATCCCTCCCCTTTCTTCGGTCGGCGAGGTACCCTTGCCTCCTCGACCCTCATCTCGGCCGTATTTCTCTTCTTCTTCGTCATCTGGGGCAACACTTCCACCAAGCAACTCATCTTCTCCTGCGTCGGCTCCTTCTCTCAAAACATCATGTACGGCGTGCTCTACGCCTTCACGCCTGAAATCTTTCCCACACCAGTCCGAGGCGCTGGTTCCGGCGTGGCCAGCTTTCTGAACCGAGTGGCGGGGCTTTTCGCCCCCGTGATAGCGGCGAACGCTCCTGGGGATGGTGCTGATATGCCCATTTATTTGTCCGCAATACTAATCTTAATGGCATTCGTGTCGATTTGCTGCATCCCCATCGAAACTAGAGGGGCGCAGAGATTATAAGAGAATTTACTCGTTTGAACCAAGTAAAACCTAACCAAAGGCAGAGCATTTACTCCTTTGCCAAATAGACCAGATGCCCACCCATTTTCACCATCTACGAAATGCAAGTTGCATAACCCCAGGATAACACGTAAAATTTTATAGAATTCAGGGGAGAACAAACCATTCTATCTCTCATCGGTAGACTCCATTCTAGGCATGCCATATCTAGTTTACAGAAATTGTACATTATGAATCATCTCGTTCCTTTGGCACCTGCAGGTGCATCGACCCTTCTCCGTTTGAACGACGTACCCAAGGCGTCTCTAACCATCGGGTCAGCACGGATTGTGTTTTGCACCAACCACTCCTTCATCTTTCCACGGAGGTTGGCTGTGGCCTCTTTGTCATTCCTGAATGGTGCTGTTTCCATGTCCATCAGTCGGCCTGAGTCAGCCTCCAGCGTTCTTGCTGTGGCCTCAAGTCGATCCAAGTTTTGGGTCAAGGCCTTCTCTCCTTCTTGAGCTGCCGCTTGCCCCTTCTGCCAGTATGTTGCCACTAGAGGTCCGATTTGCGACATTGCAATATAAGTTGTGATGGTGACTTTCCGCGCAAGAGTGATTATTTGAAATGGTAGGTAAGGCGGATGCGAAGTCACCCTGGGGACAATAGCATTCACAGTGTTCAGAATGACCGGGAAACCAGGGCGTGTGACGGTGTGCACCTCGAAGGTGCAAAGGATAATTAGGATAAGCCACCTGTAGAACTGGCCAAACTCCAAGTATCCGAACAAGCTCAGCACGTAGATGGTAGCTGCGGCAAACCCGTAGTGTGGCAAAATGACCTGAAGGACACCCCGCACCACAAAATCGTGGACAGACCTCGTCTTCTGCCACCTCAGGATGTCCGGGCCGAAGCGCTCATAGGCAAAGCGCTTTGCTTGATCTTGGAGTGTCTCGCTGGCCACCTTGAGGTGCAGAAAGTACTCGGCTGTGCCGGGCGCATCGCCGGTGGTCTTGTCGGGGTGGTGGAGGGCTGCTAGGCGGCGAAACCGTGACTTGATATCTCGATCGACGGCCGAGAAGGAGACGCCGAGGTCGGTGTAGAAGGAGGATTGTTTCTGGATTTCGTAGTCGGCTTCGTAGATGGTATAGAGGAGGTACGCGGTGACGACGAGGATGTGTATTTTCCGTCGGTGGCTAGCATATCGAGGTGAGCCTGGCTGAGGCTTTGGGTCCCCGGCACGTATTGTTAGACCGTAAAATATACTTTGGACCCATGATGTCGCAAGCTGTATTTCAAGAAAAAGAAGTTAGCTGGATGCCAATAAAGAAGCAGAGCGCCTATACCATCTGTAAATAAACCAGACGAAGGCTGCGGAAGTACTCACGTTGGGGAGAAAGGACCAGCCCAAGATCGCTAACAGATTGGACATGGTGGGCGGTAGGCAACCACCGTCCTCGGCACAACTGGACGCAGGTAAGAGAAACGGATGGGCGTCGGCGGGTGGGCTTGATCGTTGACGAAGCTGCGTTAAACGTAAGGTAAGAGGATATTAAAGTGAGGTGAAGTGTAGTGAAAGAAAGAAAAGAGTGGCAAACACAATGTGTCCTGAAGTTGTTGAAGGGCTGCGATATGAACAACTTGGCCGTTACAACTGGTACTTGGTATGTGCAGGTGTGACACAATCGCGCGCCAGTTATTTTAGACATGGATGTAAGTGGCGGGTCCTTAACCGGACATCATGACAAAGTAGATATGCAGTATATTTACTGCTTACAGCTTGTGTAGAGATACTTTGAGGTACTTAAAGCCCCACAACGCTTTCTCTCGTTCTGTCATAGGCGCCTTGTTGATGATTCGGCAGATGCGCAAGCAGCCGCTGTAAATCTTGCGGCTTCTGCTGTCAGTCGAAGAGACTATATAATATGCCCTGATTTTCTAAGCGTATCACTACTGAGTTTAAGAAACTTGGAAAAAGAATCGCACAAGGCTGTTCCAGGTTCAAAGATATGTGCCCTCATGGCTTCAAATGATGGTAAGCTCATTGGACGTAGGCCCTGAATGCGGCGGGAAAGAAAACAGGCAGAGGAAGGAATCACGGAAATCGTGGAACAAGTCACAGCATTTAAGGTTCATCAACAAGTCTCTTTCCTTCTTGGCATACAAACTCAGCAAACACAGGCATTCCATGGGGGTGGAGGGGCAGGCGGCGGCAAGGATCCACCAAGTTGGGGGAATGGGTTGCCTCCTTAGTGGCGGTCCCTGCCACTACCCATCAAATATGCTACCTAAATTAATGGCCAGCCGTAGCATGGGCGTGGGAATTGATTTCACCAAGAACCAAGTTCTCGGCCAAGGTATCCCAGAACTATAAAGGAATCGCCGCAACCCTTGAGGAGGTCACCGTATATTCGGTCATTATCTTCCAGTGGTGGCCTAATACCCATTTCCGCAGGGTTCTCGCTCTTCCCCCAGGCGCAGGCTCCGCGTCATCCTGATGACCACGACCAGCTAAGGCAAAGCTGCTTCTGTTACAGAGCGAAGGAGGATGTTGATCCGCAAAGGGGCAACGGCCCTGGCTATCGCAGCTGGTGAGTAGATGGAAGCGCTCGATTGATGAGCACCAAATTCCTCCAGTTGCCTTATCCCGAAGCTCACCAAGTTGACCAGCCCTCGCGACTCCCGTCCTTAGCGAAGAACAACCCAGAGCAGCCAGCGTCCAGTCGACCTTTGTATCCCCCGATAAATCGCTCTCATTCGCTTTTTCCGTCCCCGAAGACGAGGACAATGACTTTTATTTCACATTACGCGTCCACCGCGACTTCTCCTGGGGCGCTATCGGCCTAGGCACTGATGATATGCCAGGTGCACTGATTTTCATGATCTACGACAACCGAAACGGCGAAAGCGTCACCTTCTCCCCTCGCCTCGCCAATGGCCACTACGAACCACAATACTTTCCTTTACTCGAGGTGGATGAACTACCAGGCACCGGTATCATCTCTGAAAAATACATGGTGTATCAGGGTCGGTGCAGGAAAAACTGCCGGACATGGCCGCTGCGAGGCAACACGTTTGGGTCCATCGATGTCAATTCTACGACGCAAAAGGCCATCTGGGCCTTGGGTATGATGGAGGATTTCGCCAGCGACAAGCCCTGGGAGGGTATTAAGTACCACCAACAATATGGAACCTTTACAATCGACATGGCGAGAACGCACGGCGCAACGGAACCCCCAACTCTGGATGGGAATTCTCGAAATGAGGGCACAACGCTAGACATCGAACATGTAAACAAATCGGATGTTCAGTCAACCATGCATGCTGTGTTTATGATTCTTGCAATTGTCGGATTGATGCCTCTCGCAGTGGTGCTATTAAGACTTGGAGGAGCTGTTAGGTGGCATGCCCTAATCCAAGCTGTCTCTCTGGTTTTCGTCCTGGCCGGGTTGGCCATGGGTGTCATGACCAGTTTTCGATACGAAAGAGTAATTCTCCCAACCAAGCACCAGTGGAAGATTCATAATGTGCAATTACTGACCTACGATAGTCCCAAAAATTCAATTCATATCACCAGATTCTTGGCTTCCTACTCACAACATTCTTCCTCTGCCAATACGCGATCGGCTTTTTCAATCACCGACAATATCGGCAGACTGGCATTATGTCCAAATACAACGCTGTCCATGTTTGGTTTGGCAGAGTAGTTATCCTGATCGCCATCATGAACGCTTTCTTGTATGTCTCTCTTTGATATCGACGGAATCGGTGATCGTTGCTAACATGTGTCCAAAGCGGCTTTACGTTCGCTCTGAATCGCAGATATGGTATGGTCCTCGCCGGGCTTATCATTATGGTCTGTGTTGCCAGTCTTATCGTGATCATTGGTCGTCAATGGCTCGATAAAAGACGAGGCATCGCTCCACAGCGCCCATATCCCAGCCCACGTTCTCCCTATAATGATTCCCCCCCAACACCAAACCAGCGTGGTTCAACCCGGGCACAGTGGCCATCTGGGATGGACTATTTCCCATCCGAACCTCCTCCACGGTATGAGTCCACGCTGGAGGATGACTCTGCCTCACAACGGCAAACCATAGGACTGCGCCCACTATCTTCGTGGAGAAATTCTCGGCCGGGTGACCCTCGACGAAACGAACCAAATTCTAGTCCTGGAATTGGTGGTACACAGTCCCCCCGGGAGTTGCTGTAATATGATATCACGTGTATTTGCTGGGATTGGCGTTGCTTTGCTGGTTGTTCACCAAATTGTATATATACAGAGAACCCACCCGAATGAGCTGTGCACGACGACTGGTATCTAGTCATGATATGATGAAAATAGTATTTCAAACAATGTTCTAGGATTGCTAAGCCTAGTTCCCTCACCTTCTCACGTTCTAGTTATCTCTGAAATAGAACATAAAGACATATGTGTGTCCACGTGAGGTAGCCCAGTTCATCAAGCAACCCTGGTGAGATACCCCGGCCAACCCCACGACACCGATCTTGCTCCGAGATCCAGTATTGCATAACAGAGGCTCTAAATCGACAACACGGAGAAGAAACCAGTAGGAATCGGCCAAATACTCAGCATGTCGAACTGTGGAACCACATTGGACTGACCAGATTCTTATTTTTTTGAGCTTATGAAAGTTGGTATATCAGTGCTTGTTCACAGAGACATGCCCGGACACTCCACTTACTCCTGGCACCGTTATCGCTCCATTTGATTGGTTGTGCTCAATTGCCCGACCAGGCTTGTTCATCCAAGCAACTAACTTGCCTCCTACTACCCTCCAGACTGAACAGGGAAGTGAGCAAGCTTTCAAAGGCAGAGTGAAATCAATTGAAGGTCTCTCAACATGTTGACGGTCAATATTGGCGATGCCCACATATCAGTCACCGCAGAGCCCTTGTTACAGGAGGCCTTTGCACCGTTTGGCGATGTCATCACCAACCCCCGACCAGATGTGCATCCATCCGCCTTCGCCTCGCAACCAAAAGACTCTATGCCCTCAAATGCGGTCTCGGCGAACCAAGGCACTGCTATCCAATATCTAGCCGTAAGCCACATCCGCAATCTATACTCTCAGGCACCCTCCGGCCAGGGCCAACCAAAGATGACCATGTTTGTCTGTGCTACGCGGGAGCTGGACCCGTCCTCCTCAGGCGCCGCTTCTCAAGGCCAATTCAAGGTGCGCCTCCTGGAGCGCCATCCCTTCACTACCCAGACCTTTACCCCCCTCTCTTCGTCAGCCTCCACCTACCTGGTCATCGTTGCACCCAGTCTACAGCCCAGCGCTGCCGACGAAGACCTGCCGACACCCACCACGGACGACCTACCCGGTAGAGGTCTGCCGGACATCCATCGGCTGAAAGCCTTTGTGGCTACCAGCAACCAAGCTGTGACCTATGGCGCCGGGACTTGGCACGCTCCGATGGTTGTTCTTGGGAAGCGAGGGGCAGCGCTGGATTTTGTTGTGTATCAATTTGGGAGCGGGCATGGGATTGAGGATTGTCAACTGGTTGCTTTTGAGTCTGAGCAAAAACAAGAGCCCCGGATAGCAGTCGAGGTGCCTTGGCCGAACCCTAAGCAGAAATTGTAAGAACAATCGAAGAAGCTAAACTACCCAAGGATGAAATAAGAGAGAAAACAAAACAGACCAAGTTAGATGATCAATAATTTGTTCAGCCTCACCTCGTTCCCTGAGGATATCGTAGCCAAGCCATACTTGTAGTCACTACCATTAGTCAGCTCGTATAATAATATGGACGGGCATAACCTACGCCAAGTGCTGTGCAGGGTATAAAGAATGATGGCCATCGGAAATTGGTTATTCTACACTTTTGGCACATGTTGAGCAAAATGACGGAACCAATTCCCGAAGACAAGAGCCACAAGCTCGCGGATCTGTCTGGCGTCGAGCTGCGTCCAGGAGAGAACCCGTACACTGCCTTCATCAGTGCTTGTAACAACGACCATGTAGGTGATCAAAGCAATGAAAAACAGACCAAATCTAACACAGAAGCCTTCCCTTACAGAAAGAAATACAAGCCCTCTATTCTGTCCACAGGACGAAGAGGAATGCCCAACAGAGGGAGAAGTTTGTCTCTGGCGACTTCAAGGAACTTGCCATTGACCAGCACCTCATGAGACTTGAAAACCCTGATACTTATCCGGGATTCGTTGATGAGCGGAATTGTTTCGTTATCTGGGCCAGGCCCCCAGAGCATGTGATCCGGTTGGCTGCAAAGTTGCAGGATTTGCTGAAGCAGAAAGCACCGAGTGAGTCACGATAGCCCAGGCGGCATCGAAACCAGCCTTGCCCCACGAATTACAATATGCCTTATAGATAGACGCTTTTTTGTCACGGTAGCTAACAAATATTATTATTTAAACAGCCATTTGGTTGATGCCAACGCAGAGGATGCATATGACGGCGCTCGAGGTAGCCTTCTCCAAAACTCCCCAGGAGATTGGAGCTCTGGTGTCCACGATCCGCCCCAGCATTCCGAAGATTGCCAGTTATACACACACTCATAGATCTCGACTCGTGAAGCCGATAATATCCTATGACTTGTCTGCTTTTGCCCTCTCTTTCCTCCCAGCCGCCGGGGAGCCTATAGTCTCACCGCCACCTGTGGAGCCCGATGTCGCCGAGGGAGTCATCGAGGGTGACGAGTACACTTACCATCATGTCCGCCAGGATGTTTTCGATCTTGTCAAGACTGGAGGAGTTCAGGTAGGGTCCAGGTATCAGGTGCCCAGTGCTCATATCACGCTGGGGAGGTATCTGACTCAGGATGACCACGACACCCCTGAGAAGCGGAAGCAGTGGGTGGATGCTATTGATGAGATCAACGACTGGCTGAAGAATGAGATTTGGGACAAGAAGGATGCAGAGTACGTTGGTGAGTGGATCGTTGGTCAAGAAAGAGGCTTGGACTGCCGTTCTGGGTCCCTTTGGTATGGACATGGCCGGACTTTGCTTCTCGGTGAGGGTTTCTAGATTTAGTTTGTGGACGATTTAGATGCGAACCAATACATTCTCGTAGATCTGGCCGAATGATAAGATTATTTACAATGTTCAATTCCCACCCAGAGAGCAGAATGAACACGGAGGCAAATATCTCAAGAGGTTCAGTCGGAAGGTTTCAAGTCTTCAATATAGCATCAACAAGGCAGATGGAATAACAGGTATTAAGCACAGAGACTTTTTTTTATTCATTCCCTATGAACCCTTCCTCATAATCATGAGGACATGAACCTCCTTTCGCCAGTGTCCATGATGCCCATATGCCGCAAGGAGAAGCACTGAAAAGCGTAGTAGTAGTGACCCGAATTCTCAACACATTTAGAACACCAAAGCAGCACCCTTCGTCTTCTTGTCACCACTATCGAGTTTGTTAGCATGCTGTGGCCACGCATGGGGATCGGAAGTGGGATGTCATACCCCAGCTCGAAGTGCTTGCAGCGCTTGAGGGCCAGCTGGCACTTGGTCTTGCACTTGACGCACTCCAGTCTCAGGACAACCTTCTTGGTGGTCTTGGCCTTCTTGTGGAAGACGGGCTTGGTCTGACCACCATAACCGGACTGCTTGCGGTCGTAACGGCGCTTTCCCTGAGCGAACAGCGAGGCTTTACCGGCCTTGTACTGGGTGACCTTGTGCTGGGTGTGCTTGCGGCACTCCTTGCCCTTGCAGTAGGTGTTTCGGGTCTTGGGGATGTTGACCTAGTAGTGCCCTCTAGTCAGCCTCCGTGGTCATCTCCAAGTGCTCCTCATGTGTGCAGGTGCTTTCTGATTGATCCCGATCGATGTTTTGCTGCGAGTATTCCAGGAGTTGAATATCGATGTTGGCGCATGCAGAGATATCCGGATGTAGGCGCTTTGAATTGGAATTATGGCTGCCTCGCCCTCTCCCCATACCCCAAGTCGGATGGATTTCTGTCGAGGCCGACATGCTGGGTAAATTTGTCGTCGCGCGCAAAGAGTTGAGAGCCCGGAGAATACGAGCAGAGAACAATCGATCATGAAGAGGAATCGCTCGGGATGCAATCTGTAAAGGCTAATCAAAGGGGAAGATAACTTACCATTTTGGCGGCTGGATGTCGTGTCGTGCCTTGAGTGTTTGGTGATGCAAAGTTCCGAAGCCTGGGTGAAATTTGGAGGTTTTGGTGATTTCTGGCTTTGTGGGCAGCTAGGGCCGCCCCACTCTGCCTGATTGAGAAAGCGCTGTGTGGCTCTCTCTCACAATGAGCCACATTTGAGACCTTATTTCCAAGGCACCAATAGCCACATGCAAGCTAAGGTCTGGGACGTGAGTCTTGGCAAAACTGCCCCACCATTGCGCCAAGGGGGAACCCTCTGGCCAGCGTTGCCATTAAGGTGCTACGTCGCTGGATGCTGCATTCAATGTAGTTGACGAGAGAAGGGTAATTGGCAACAACGAGACTCCGCGCAACCATGGATCCATACTCCGCAGAAGGTGAATTGATAAACATTCACAACCATTTCCTCCAGGGCCAGTTCCAGGAGGTTGTGGATTTCGACACATCGTCGTTCTCCGCCAACAATGCCCTTCCCACCCGCATCCTCCAACTAAGAGCACGCATTGCTCTCGGCCAGGCCCAGGAGGTTCTAGGCGAAGTCAAGGGCGCGAAGGAACCCGAACTTGAGGCCGTTGGAGCACTCGCCGAGTTTTCTCTTGGCAAGACAGAATCTGCTGTTAGCACAATCGAGAAGCTGGCGGTGTCAGCTGCCGATAATGTGACGGTCGAGATTCTCGGTGGTACAGTCCTCCAGGCTGCTGGAAAGACAGACGACGCCCTGGCACTTCTCTCGCAGCACTCAGGAAGCCGTAAGTTTGGGCGACATTCACATGGCGGGTACAAGCGCTAACACGGATTCCAGTTGATGCCGTTGCCCTCATTATCCAAATCTACCTCTACCAGAACAGAACCGATCTCGCTTTAAAAGAAGTCAGCGCAGCCCGGCGATGGGCCCAGGACAGTCTCCTGGTCAACCTGGCAGAGTCCTGGGTCGGACTTCGAGTTGTCAGTACAACACAGTCGTTGAGGTCTTGGCTCCAGAGTGCTAATCTTACTTAGGGCGGAGAGAAATACCAACAGGCGTTCTACGTTTATGAAGAGCTTGCTCAGGCACCTTCCACCTCGTCGATATATAGCCTTGTTTCCCAAGCAGTGTGCGAGCTGCATCTTGGCCGTACCGAAGAGTCCCAGGCTGCTCTGGAAGAAGCCTTGAAGAAGGACCCCACCTACGCCGAAGCAATTGCGAATCTGCTTGTCCTCAAGGCGATAACCGGCCAGGACACCTCAGAACTAACTGAGTACGTGATGAGTAAAATGAACAGATATCTAGGGTCATACTAACATATTTGTAGATCATTGGCGAAGGCTGCCCCCAAGCACGATTTCTTGACGACTCTGGAGGAAAAGAGTGACCTATTTGATAAGGCGGCGGCAAAGTACAAGGCAAAAGTTTCTGCGTAATTAGACTGGTAGGCATGCATGAATGAAGACTGTGATTTTGGCGCCAATGCAGTAAGAACTTGGTTTAATGCATTCATCTGCTGTCTGGCAAATTTGAGCGTGATTGATCTCCTCCTGGAGCCTTATATTACAAGAACCAGGTCTTATGCTACCAAAGTAATCAGAGTCCCCCTTCAAATTTCTCTATGCGTTTCCAAACCCCCTTGCTGCGGTTGAATTCAGAGCTTAACTGGACTGTAGCCATTTCGATCATAGCTGGTAGTAGCTTTTCATCTTCGAAAGCTGGTCTCGTTGATTTTGTTGTTGTTATCTTCAATACCGAAAAATTCATCGATTTCCATCATCTTCTCCTCTACTGAGAGGAACCGTACCCGTCTCTGAGGGCTGAAATAACCCCCGACAGCTACGTTTGGTGCGGAGTTTGCTTTGCGGTGCGGCGAGAGAGACGAGGCGGCCTTGTATTGAAGATTAGGGTTAGCCATGCATGACTAGCTCTTCGGGACGAACCTTGGGTTTACTTCTCTGTTGTTGCGGCCATGTCTCTTGTCACCGCGACTCTTGCACGGAGCCTCGGGCTCATCTAGCTCGTCATCGGATGGCGCCAGATATTCTCGAACATGGTTCCAAAAGGCCTTGACCTCATCGGGATCTCTCTGGTTGGTGTTGCCGTCCCGAGGCTGTATATCCTCAGTGTTGGTTTGGGTTCCTCCCGTGCCGTGGTGATTAGCGTTCTGTGAGGTGGCCGCTTCGCCACGTTTGGGTTGCGGTTGAGCTTCCTGGCTCGGCTTCTCTGGACCTCTCAATATTTTCTCCAAGCCTTCAGGCAGCGGTGTTTTGTCTCCGCTGCTTCTAAAAACGACACGGGTCTTGGAAGAGTCTGAGCCGGCCTCTTGTTCGTCAAGGCAACGACAAAGCGGTTTGTCAGCGGCAAAATACTGCTGATACTTGAGTAGTGTTAAAGAATACCCTTCAACGCCAGGCGCTGCTTGTGGGATATTGGAAGACTTTTGGTACGAGGAATCTGGTGATGTTGACGACACAGGACTGGTTGGTTGCTTTCTTTTGGGTGAGGTGCTGTCGGCAGATAAGTTAGACATCGACGACATGGTCGAAATGTCATCAGAAGACTCTAGTCTGGCAACTAGTGCTTTCACAAAACCATTAGCCCCGGCCTTGGCCTTTGGCTCGCGGCATGGCTGTGCGGGTGTTCGTTGTCCGAGATTGGATGAGAAGCTGCTTGTGAGTCCTTTGTGTTCTCTTCCCCGGTTGATGATGCCTTCATCCTTGTTTCTTTGGCCTTTGGAAGGTGTTGGGAGGCCTAAGTAAGATGGGTCAGCCATTGTTGTTAGCTTCCCAGGCCTGTGGCATCTTCATCGTTGTAGTGGAAGGAGAAAGAAGAGAAGTTGAGAATGTTTAATAACCTTGCGTGGGAATACTGGCCCCTTCGGATCAAACTGCTATCACTTCTGGGGTCAGAGGTGAGCAGCAGGTGAGAAGAGGGGTGAGTGTTAATTGATAAGTTTCTCAGAAGTACACCTCGTTTGGCACTTTCACCAACTCCAAATCTGGGTACTCTATCGAGGGAGAACAGATGACAAAGCTATCAATTAAGATTTGGTACCATGGTAGACAAAGGCACTGTCCTCAAAGAAGAAGAAGACCCTTTAACATTACTATTCATATGGTACCGTTTATAGTCTGGGCCAAACAAAGAGAAACATTAGTTTCTTAGCAGTTGTTATTCCAGTACTAGGGCGCCACCAAATGTGCCTACGTATTCAAAAGCACAAAATGAACAAGGTAGGAATAAGGTTTAAGCATGCACCCGTCTCCAGTGGCTTTTGCTGTTTTTGTGTCACTGCTGTAAAGACCGCCATTGACTTTACCAGCAATAGCTATTTGAGGATCACAGTGGTGAACTTTTACCATGATGTTACATAGGTAAAAATTGGGGAAACATGTCATCACGATTTTGTTCGGAACGGTAGAGATTATAGCGAAGTGAAAACCGTCACTGCCTATTCTTTTTTTTTTTTGGAGGTTTATCTTTGTGAATTCATGTATACATGCGCTTATCCCAGCCATAGACGTATCCTGACCATAATCATAAAATTCGTCTCGTCCGTGTGTCCCAGGTCCCTCGTTTGAGGCACCAGAACACCCCTGCAATTCGATATTCCCAGGGTGCCCTCTATTGTGTTGTTACCGTTTGCTCTAAATTGACAGTCTATTTCTTCTTGTTGGGGAACTTGGGAGCTCCAATGTCAGCACCTCGGAGCTTGACATTGAGGACTCGCTCCATGTTTGACATGACTTTCTGGTCGGGCGCGGCAGTGCCCCTCTCGAACTCGCTGACAATGGTCTGGGTGGTGTTGCACTTGGTGGCAAGGTCCTTCTGGGTCATCTTGGGCTCCATCTTCTGGCGGGCCTGGGAGATGGCATCACCAACGACCTTGCCTACGGTGTTGGGCTTGATGATGTCGTCGGATCGATCGACCTTGGTCAGACGCTGGCCTTCTCCGCTGCCGGAAGCCTGTATCAATCGCAATTAGCCCGCCTGTCTTTGCAAAAGTATTACACTTGGCCCAGCCGGGTCTGGTAACCGAATAATAGCTCGGGGAGAAGGGAACAACATACTGCGTTGGCTGTGCCGTACTTCTTCTCGGTGGAAATGATGCCACCCGTTCGTTGGGCTGCGTTCAGAGCGGCATTTCCACGGATGACAGTCTCACGCTGGGAAGCACCAGATCCGCGGGTCCTGCTTCCAATCTTGGTGACGTCGTCCCAGTCAGCCATTTTGGCGGATTGTTCGATGAAATTGAGTTTCTGAGATTGTTGCTGCGAATATGATCGATGTTGTCGAGATAGAGCTGAGGATGCAGAGATGGCTGGAAAGATGGATGGAGTTGGGTGTCTTCGTCGATCGCGTGTGTTGGGTTGTGGGGGCAAGGCATCCATCTATATACGGCTACGGCTCGACCCCACCGCCGTCATTTTGGGGCGATGCTGGTTGACTCAACCGGCGGGGGACCCGCGCTGGGGCGGTGCTTCGGCCAATGCGAAGGCGGCCGTGGAAGGTGCTAGATTTTTAAGGAAGAAAGCTGAGATCACGGTCACGTGAGCACGCTGGTGCGGGAGAAGCTTTTCAGGAGCTCATTTGGATACCAGCATCTCTCGAATGGAGAATGGTCACTGATTGTATCGAAATAATTCCAAATTCATAATTAGAGGTAGCACTAGAGCTGCATTAATCTCTGTGAGTAAAGAAAAAATGCACGGAAATATATGCTAGATCTCTTGGAAGGGCAACCCTTGTCGGCCTAAAACAGAAGTGGCATGGATACACAAGGCGGAATGCTTGACTGGAACCTATCGATTTCAATGTCACCCAGCTGGCAACCCACCACAGCCACCCTCTACCCGGTAGTTGCCAGATCTCCGCATTTGTCGGTATGATTGTCGATTCTCTGCTAGTAATTGTCAAAATAACCCCTCGTCTTTTGATGTTATTGCCTGACGAGATATTGTGACCGTTTCGGTGTGGCGGCGGGCACGGCACCTTGGCGAATTTCCAGCAGACACATGCCTTAGATACCTCTTATCTGAGTGTTACCTGGCCTTATGAGACTACCACATCCAGCAGGTAACACACTGTGGTTGCATCACCACCTTCCAGCAGCGTAATTGCAACATTTTCCTTCCAATTATTTCATTGCCGGTGACGAATACTTCCCTTCCATTTTTTGGGATTGACTCTGTATTGCCTCCTTGGGTGTTTGTGGCAGGGGTCATTCTGCTCAATTGTCCTCGTAATTGCTCCGCAGGCCGAGTCCTTCACAAGTGCCTATAAGAGGTGAATGGGAGACGTGAGACATATCCAATACATAACGCATTTGAAAAGATAATAAACTTTGGGGCTTCCTAATGATTGTTAGTCAAGGCGCTATAGACAGATAAGGCGTTTGGGTAACGTGGCACATCTACGGGAGACACAACATGGAAAAACTACTTTCTCAAAATTCACCATGCCGGAGTAGTGACCTCATGAGAACGGATAATAGTAATGGTTGTGGAATTTGGGTACATATTTAAGCGAAAGGCCAATGAGCTACTTTTATCGAGCTGCAATGTGCAATCGATAGCTCAATGTCATACAGCAAAGTTGATTACCTCGTAGCTGACCAACTCGTTAGTCAACATGAAAACACCAAGATATCTCTCGAACTGAAATATGTTGGGGGTGCTGGAAGTCTGGAATAGGACAAACGAGGGGCAGCATCTGAATGTACTTGCCCTTGTTATCTCAAGCCATAACTACAAGCCGATGCAACGACTGGGATCGCCAGACGAATCAGCGCTGTGGTCACAACCCGAGGTATGCGGTAGTCCTGATGAAGCACCTACCCGTGGCCCCCGCGGCCACTCACCACACCAAGACACACACATCATCGATCACCACAACGTCATTTATCAATAGCTGTTACCCCGCCATTGGCGCATTGGAGGCCGGCCTGGGCCAGATTGTGCCCGATTTTGGGTTGGACCTTTACCCCGCTGTACCTTGAAAATGTATAAATAATGTGAGGGAAGTAGCCCTCCTCTTGCTGTTTTCTTGAGCTACCAAGTCGGATCCTATTCCTCCCCCTAGAAAATTCATACCTTCGAACGAATTCCTTAGCGAAGATGCCTCTCACCGGTCACTGTCTCTGCAAGGCCGTCACTTACACAGCTGACGTCGACGCACCCCTCCTCACTGGCTACGACCATTGCGACGATTGCCAGCGTCAGGTTTGTCTCCTCTAGGTCTACCCAGCTACGGCTCCATTCCAAGGCTGCCTCTAACCATTGTCTCTAGAGCGGATCTACCTATTGTGAGACAAATTCCCCCGAGTGTGACCTTTTCTAGTTCAATTGGCGCACCCTCAGTTGTCCGAGCACATGCTAATAACAGCAGCTCTCGTTGCTGTCGTTCCAAAGGACAAACTCACAATCAATGGTCCTATAAAGAAGTGGGAGGGCAAGGGATCTTCGGGCAAATCTGTCTGGCGCCTCTTTTGCTCCGAGTGCGGCTCACCCATCGCCCACGACCCTGACGCTGCTCCCGAGATTATCGCCCTCAAGGGTGGCACCTTGGACACGGAGATCAAGAAGAACCTTAAGCCTGTAATACTCTCACATAGCAAAATGTTCCACTTGCTTTCGCTGACATTTCCGCCCTTAGGACACCGAAATTTGGACCGTTGGCAAACTCCCTTTCTGCCAGGAACACCTTGCAAAACCTTTTACCCATATGCCCGAGTAAAGGTGCCATCTAAGCTGGCTGGTACCAAGATGGTTGCCCTGGAACATGTCGGATATGTCACCTCAATGGAAAAGACCATATATTGTTTTGCACTTGGAGCGTGCGTGGGGATTTTGGGTTAGTGGCGTATGGTGAGGTTGCTTGATTGAGAGGTGGTGCTCTAAATATCAACAGATGTGATTACCTGAGAATAGGAGTAGGACGGTTGCAAGGGCAAGGAGTAGTAAGCCAGAATTCCATTAATGATATTTATGCACTACTTAGGTTGCGAGTGAGTAAAGCCTGGACTGCGTCACCTGTTTACATGCTTTGCTATTTACAAAGCCCAAGCCGCGAACAATCCCAATATAACTAGACCGACACTTGCAACACGTGTATTGGCGTTGCTCTTCGCTTTGGATTCGTGGCCATGAGCGATGCGGGCGCCTGGAGTTTTCCCAGTTTTGGTGAATCCGCCCAATTGTTTCCCTACTGCGTTCATGATGAGTGCTTCGTCTTTGGAATGACTAAGACTTGCGCCGATTGAATTGTCAGAAGCAAGGTCGAAATTCTCGGACATGGGTTGCTTCCCCTGAGTTACGCAGTCATGTGAGCCGAAGACACCGTCTGCACCGATCGCTGCTGAGAGCTGGTCCTCATCGGACTCTTCTTCATTGACATCTTCATCAATTTTTTCTTCGTTTGCGTCCTCTTCATTGTCGTCGTCCTCACTGTCATCTTCCTCAGACTCTTCTTTGTTGATGTCTTTCTCATCAGATCCTTCAATGGGATCCAACTCCTTAAACTCTTCATCATCGAAATCCTCATCCTTGAACTCAACCTCTACAGACTCCTCTTCGTCAAACTCCTCTTCATCAGAATCATCATCGTCGGACTCTTCTTCGTCAGATTCCTCATCATCTGACTCCTCATCGTCGGAATCTTCGTTACACTCCTTTTTATTAGTGTCCTCTTCGAATAGGTCCCAATCGAGTGATACCTTCACATCGAGGTCATCTTCATCGGCAGATACCTCCACATCGAAATCATCTCCATCGGGAGCTACCGAGGCCAATGTAGTTCGGTCGCAAAGACTTTGAACAAGAGAAAGAGTGACCTCGTCAATGAGGTAAGTGGAAGAAGGTAGGTCGCGTTTGCCGTTGGAATGATAGGTGACTCGATCCCAGCATTTATGGCATGTAATCCAGCTGCTGATGATATCTCTATCACACAAGCAATCTCTGTTGACACGAAGACGAGACTCCTCATGCTTTTCTTGGCAAGCTTCGACAATGGACCACATCTTGTGACAAGACTGGTCGATACCGTACGGGTTCTGTGAAGCGAGGGGAGCTCCGGGAACTTGGAGACCGGGAACAATGGGGGCTGGGTTGACGCCAGAGGCGGCCCCATCGGCAGAGAGAGACGTAATACCCATGGCGAATGATTTGATGGAGTGGAAGCTCAAAAGTTAAGATGTATCCGTAATGATTCCAAAAAAGTATGGTGACACTTGGCCAAGAATGGATGCGGAAGAGCTCTATGGTAATGTGAAGAGAAGAGAAGAGAAGAGGAGGAAGAGGCCGAGAAACGAGCGGGGGGGATATATTATCCCAAGTCACGTAGGCGTGCCTTCCAATTTTGCGTTTCTTGCCTCAAGCCATTTGGGAGGTTCGAGATTGGAAACCGCGGCTGCAGTAGCGCTGGAAACCGATAAGGTGCAAACACAAGTGGCGCAACTAGATGAGGTTTCTCGAAGAAGGAGCAGCCAGCTGCCGCCTCACATAAGAAGAGAGAGGACAGAAAGTCCCATCAAGCAGAGAAGAGACATCCTGGAGCTATGACTATGGGAGAAAGCTCCACTATCTGGAAGCTCCTTCTGAACACTGCCTGTCTGACTGGCCTCTACGGTGAAGCAGCTCGCGGTTCCGCATTGGTAGCCGCTGGGACAGCACCCAGCGACAGAGCCGCCTTCCTCCCCGCAGAGAAACCACCCACCAGCACACGTACCTGTCGCAGCGGCTGGCACATTGCTGGCAGCTACCACCACCGTAACGCCATTTGACACCAATGTGGTGGAAGAAGGAGCAGGACATGAGTGTGTTTCGCACTCTCGGTCAGTTTGGCAGCAGCCGCCGCCATGAGTGGCTAAGCAGCCGTAAAAACCAGTAGGGCAGCCAGTCTGTGTGTCAGGAGCAGAGGTGGTAGTATCAGTCACTGTTGGCCGCCAAGGAGCCTCTCCAGTCGCTGTGGCCGAGCTTGAAGCTGTTCGGGTAGTAGAGGTAGGCTGAGTCGTTGACTCGACTGAAGACTGGCTTGTCGTGGTCTGCGTGCTAGTGGTAGTCGTCACGGTGGGTTCGGATGAAGTGGTTTGAACCTGCGTTGTTGTTGGCACTGTCGAAACCACCTCTGTCACGCCTGTTTTTGGCTGTCAGCCCTTGATAGTCCATCGCCACTCCGTTTCATCGTTCTGGTGCAAAGAGATACTTACATCCTATGCCCTGACAAATGTATCCTTGAAGACAGCAGCCGCCACCCAGGGACGATGGACAGCTCACGGCGCTCGTGGGGCAGTTCCCTACCCCCCCTCCACATTGTACACCGTCTGGACAGCATGCGACACTGGCCACATTGGAATCTGCGACTGATGTGCAGTACGTCCCCTTCTGACAGCACTTATTAGAAGCTCCGATATCCTCGCAGCTGGTCATATCAGATGGACACGAAGATCGCTTCTCTAAAATGGCCAGCATTTCCGCTGCCCTTCGCATCATGCTCTCCCGCGTTTCATCAATGTGAGGCGCAAAGGCTCGCTGGAAGAACCTAGCGGAGCTGTTCGTTCGCTCTGATTCGCCATTTCCATCGTCTACACCGGGAAGAAACGGAGTGCCATAAATGTCAATGGGGAAACTCCCAGGCGGCGCAAATGCGAGATGCTCTGGGAAGATCTTCTCATTTGAGTCAGGCGACAGCTTCTTGAGCGCGGTAGGCTGCGGGTTGGCTGCGACCTGAGTGACTAGGGCAAGCAGCGACGGAGGCAGCAGTAAAATGGTTCCGACTAACACCATTGTAATGCGTATCAACTGAAGAATGATGGTTTTCTTCGTCGTTGTGCTTGGCGCTGTGAAGCTGCTGATGGACGCTGCCGATGATTACCAGGTAGGTAGTTGCTGATGAATGGCGTGGTGGGCTTATCTCGTCCAGTAATTGAGTATTTCAATCAGAGTAGGTAGGACAGGCCCTTTAAGATCCGAATTGAATCAGTTAAGTGAAAGAGTGCTTTTTTCCTGGGGCGATACTTGATTCTCTAGGTAGATTACGGCATGAATTTGCCAGACGCTCGTTTTGTTTGGTGGAGGCAGCCTCTTTTAAAACAAATCTTGGTGGCTGGGCAACCCGCCGGCCATTCGGGATTGGAACATGGCATCCTTGCGAGATACAAGCCGCCAAACTAGAACGTTGTGTATCCCCCCTTTCTCTATTTTCGACATGAGGATAGATATTGTACTATGAGGATTTTTGCATTTACAACAGCGGGAAGGTTGGCACCCCTTTCTTTATTGTCTCAGGAGCAAACGCTGTTTGGTGTGCTGCAGCGCTTGGAATGGCTATTTTGGAGCCATCGACGTCACTCTTCCTAAATAGGAAACATTTGGCGTGATGTCGAGGCTACGTCTTGTTTTGTCTGTTCCGGGTATATGAGATAAGTTGTCCAATTATTCTATCCTAATGCGCTTCTATAATTACAATAGTCATGTACTATGTTACATCATGAATGTTCTCTGAACACCCTTTTCTATATATTGTACAGATTGCAGGCTCATCAACACTTGGCTAAAACATTGAATCCTCCGCTTTCTCCTTGGAAGGTTCAGTAGTGTCTGCAGGGGCTTTCTTCTTTGAAGGTTTGACCCTAGGTTTTGCTTGTCCCTTAACGAAGGAATGACAAAGTAGGCCAGCAGCGACGCCAACATTCAAACTGTCGATGCAACTGTCTTGAAGGAAACGGGGAACGGAAAGTTCATAGTCTGCCGCGACCTTCAGATCCTTTGAAAGGCCGTAGCCCTCATTGCCCAGAACAAGGATGCATGGCTTCTCATTAAGGGGCTGATCATGTTCGACATCACTGGACGAGATGAATTTGCCACCATGCCTTTGAACCAGCTTCTTATCCGGAGCGGCTACTGCTGCGTATGATACCCAACCGGCTTTCCTTGATTCTTCGAGGAAGGATACGGGGGAGTCGACTGTGAAGATGGTCATTTCTTCTACAGCACCGGCAGCAGACTTTAATACAATTGGGCTGAGCTTGGCAGAGTTTCGATTTGTGATGCCAACCGCATCAGCTCCAAAATAGCTCGCAGTTCGTAGAAGAGCACCGAGGTTCCCAGGGTCAAGGATTTCGTTCAAGAGTAATACATAGGGCTTGGCTGTGACTGAGCTTGACCGAGAAATGAACGATTCAGTGCCATTCACGGCCTCCTCCTCTTTACTTTGATGATCAAGCTTGACGTGAAACCCCAGCCGAGAGGGGTTTTCCTCGAGCGCCCCTAGAGCAGTGATGGGAAGTTGAGGAATGGGTGAGGTCTCTAGTACAAAGCCGTTGTGGGGTCTGCCCTGGCTCATCTTGTCCATGAGGCGCTGGTCTTCGGTTGGGACAATAGTGATGGGCACGCCTTGCATTTTTGCCAACCTCGAGATTATTTCGTTATCCTTCGATTCCTGTCGATTTTCACCACCATAAATGTATAGGTTGTAAAGTTTCCGCCTTCCTTGGTCTAGCGCCGCTTTGACGACTGATTTTCCGTATAGAAATTGGGATGCTGCAGTGGTGTATTTAATAGTCATGGGCATGAATTTTCCAAATCTTTCACGCGGCGCAGGCATCGTCATCTTGAACGCGTTGTCGGTATCCTCTCGTCTCTGTCGACTGAAGAAGTTGAAACCATCTCTACTGGACCTTGAATTCGTTGGTCCACGGCGAAATGCCCTCGGCTGCTCCCTAGGTTGAGTGTCTTCGACATTGCCGTGGAATCGCTTTGCAAAGTCGGCGCTTGATGGTCTATCAAGTTTGGTGACGGTTGGCGTGTTCGCATCGTATCGTGGTTCACCGTTTCGTGGTTCACCGTATCGTGGTTCACGTCTGAAGCCCCCTCTTATGGGACGAGGTCGTACCGGCTCATCAATCTTACTGACAAGATGCTGAAGTGAACCATGTTTCATCTGATATACAAGGCTTTTCTTGCCAAATTCGAAGTCAGGGTCGTTGAACCGCTTGCGTCTTGTCTTCGGGCCTGTACCAGTCTCTTCCTCTTCCTTTTTCTTAAGCTTTCTTAATAGTCTCAATTGCTGTCGCTTTGAACCGGCCCCTTCAAGAGCCTTTTCAGTGAGGCTCTGGGATCCTTGATCATCGCGGCGTCCTCGCGTGCTTGGTGCCCGGGGCCTCACTTCTCCAAATTGGACCCTTTCTGATCGGCGAAGCCCACGATGAATCGCTGACAGGCTGGCGAAGCGAATCGAAGCAGGGATAGGGGTGTGTATAGGAGAAAATTTCGAAAAACAAAAGGGTAGGCCCAAGGCCTTACTCTGCAGGGAGCGCATCATCGCATCATCTACGACTTAATTCCAGTCATGACCCTCTGTAGAGGCCTGGCGCAAGATGTGATGAATGACTTCGGCCAAGTTTTTTTTCTGCCGCCTCGGTGGAGGCTCGATATGGGCGGTGAGGTAAAACTTGCGTTATGGTTGGCTGCAGGGATGCATTAATCGACGGGACAAGGGTGCTACCCACTTCGCCGTTGTACCTCTTTTACGGGGGGGAAGCCTGCCGTAGCACATCGTCACTTTGAGGGTTGTACAGATATTAAGAGTTGGAAACAAAACTATGTGAATTTAGCAAATCCTAATGGCAAAATTTCATAAGTAGCAGACCAGAAAACTGAAAATTCCCTTGATATCATCGCTTTGGCAAGGGTTTGCGTGGGTCAACCTTGCTGACCCACCAGTCGCATCGCTGGTAATTAGTGCCTAGACGCGTTTAGAGACGGGTCGTGTACAGTGCACTTGACGGCCATTGAGTCTTTCTTCAGTCGCTCTTCACATTGTCATGGCCTTGCTTTCACATCAATCGCGCGCAATATAGAACAATTAGAGTCTTTTAATCTTATGCCATGTTTTGTATATTTTCTTTTCCTTCCCTTTTCTCTGCGACTACAACGGAATACAACAAACCGGACTGCCAAACCCACGCACTGACCGAAGCGATTTCGATTTGAATTCGACAAACACCAAGACGTTGCACGATAGGGTGCTGTCTACAGCCCCGTCACGCCCCCAAGCTTCGACATGAGCACGACAGTCCCTGAGAGCTCTCCGTCGCCCAGTTTGCGCCATCAGAGTGTTGAACTGGCTGATGCAAGGAGCCCCGCCATGGATCGT